GAGCTGAGGGTTTTGAAACCTACCACTTACCTTGAACTTATTAAGTCACAAAACAGAGAAGGAAAAAAAAATTACCATCTCTTAAACCATTGTGCTTGATCAGAGAGCCTGTGATAATATCTATGATTTAAGTGGGCAAGGAAAGGCCAATAGTAATGTCTCCTAGGGACAAAGGCCGTATTTTCTACAAATATCTTACCCCTGGAAACAGAGAAGCAGCACCTGAATAGGCAGGGTTTGGATCCTGCCTCTGCTATTCATTAGCTGCGAGTCTTTGGACAAACGACTTGATTTCTCTGTGCCTCAGTTTGCTAATTTACCTTGCTCTTGTGAAGATCCAATGAGTTAATTACCATTAAACACATAAAAGAGTGCCTGTCACATATTAGGCACATAATATTATATCCTATGCACTTATCTTGGAGCCCTGGTGGCACAGTGGTTACAAGCTCAGCTGCTAACCAAAAGGTCGGCAGTTCGAATCCACCAGCTCCTCCGTGGAAACCCTGAGGGGCAATTCTACTCTATCCTATAGGGTTGCTATGAGTCGGAATAGACTTAATGGCAATGGGTTTTTATGCACTCATTTATCAGAAAAATATTGACTCTGCTTTGACTGAGTCCCTGTATTTGTTGGGGAATTTTCAAACACTGGGTTCCCTAAAATAAATTCACCTTCTAAATGCAATATCCATCATGAACTGCTTCAGAGCTCTTTTCGCTAACCTCAAGAGCTTACACATCTTGTGCAAGATTCACATGGGACACCCAATATTTTTCCGCTACCCTCCAAATCCTGTTTGACTGAAGAGGTCTAGCTTTCCCTAGAGATCCACTTGACCTAAAGCACCACTAACTGACCTTTCTCTTACCAATCAGACTATCCAGCATGTCATTCTATACTGTTTTGCAGACTCTCTCTGTTGAATCGTGTGTGTTAATCTTGTCTGCACAATTTAGCCTTTAGCTCCTTAGAAATAACATATTTTACAGTAGCATCACCTTTGCTTTAAAGATGATAACAAAGGCCCAGAGAAACTGTCGCTTGAGGTCACAGAGTTAGCTAGGGACATGGCAGGGACTACTCCTCCTCTCAGTACAATGAACTTGCCACTTGAGGGCGAGAACGTGCCCCATAGTTCCGCCGAGATCCCACAGTACCCAGCACCACGGTGAGTTCATTATCTGTGCTCACTCAGTATGTACTTATTGATAGAAAATGCCACTCAAATGCTTTCACTGCACTTCTTTAATGAGTACATCGTAAGAAAGCCAGAACATAAAGCCTTTTCTGAAGATTCTCAGATTCAAACATGGAGACAATGCAGGCACACTGCCATGACAACGGGCGGAAAAGTGGAGGTGATCCAAGCTACAGTAAGTCCTGAGAATCCCAGATGCACTAATTCCAGCTTGTCCCCAAGTCACTTTGACACCAGAGAAGGAGTGTCAGGCAGATGCCACATTAGAGACTGCGCCTTGGATTTCTCATTTTGAAGGATGAGAAGTCCCCATCTGTCTTAACACTAATCAAGTCTTCCTAAGTTCCCCACATGGGAGTCAAATAGACCATCTGTAATGACTTACCTAGATTTGTACACGATGACAAACCAGAACAGGTGAGCTATGGAGACTATGGAGTGGAAAAAGCATGATCTAAGATCCAGGAGGTATAGATTGCCTTCCTATCCCTGCTATCATCTAGCTTCTGGAACATGGGAAAATTACGTTACTTCCCTGAACTTGTTTCCTCATCTGTAAATTAAGACATTATTATAGTTGATTTCTAAGGTCCTTTCCAGGTCTAACAATCATAAATGAGTCTTAGAGGCACTACAGTGAGACCTCATCCAATGCTAACTCTGTGTCATCTGTCACTACTCCGTTTGACCCAGATTCCCTCCAGGTCTCTGTCTCTGTAAAAAAAGAACTTTTCATTCGCCCAATTGTAAGCTTGTTTTACCTCTAATCATAGAACCTGCTTTCTGTTAAAATAAAAAAATGTATCATCTTAAACACAAGCACCTTAATTTTCCTAACTTTTATTTTAAAAAGTAATGGATAGTCATGGAAAAAAATATTGACAAATATAAAGAAGAAAACAAAATATCCCATAACCCAGATATAACCAATGTTAACATCTGCATATATTCTGTACTGAGTTGAATGCTGTCCCCCAAAAATCCATGTCCATCCAGAACCTCAGAATGTGACCTTATTTTTAAATAAGATCTTTCAGATGTAATAAGTTAAGATGAGGTCATACTGGCTTATAGTGAGCTTTAACTCAATGAACTGGTGTACTCATAAGAAGAAAACAGAGACACAGGGAGAATATGAAGATGGACACAGAGAATGGAGGGATGGGTTTACAAGCCAAGGAACGCCAAGGATTGCTAGCAACCACCAGAAGCTGCAAGAGGCATGGAACAGATTCTCCCTTCAAGTCACCAGAAAGAACTAATCCTGCTGACACCTTGATTTCAGATATCTAGCCGGCAGAACTGTGAGGGAATAAATTTCTGTTATTTTAAGCCACCCAGTTTGTGGAAATTTATTGTGGCAGCCCTAGGAAACTAATACATATTCCTTTCAAATATTTTTCTGAGTGTATGTGTATACACGTAAATAGAGATTATACTGTATATGCCATTTTGTATA